TCGGCGCCGCGCGCCGTCGCCATCTCCCTCGAGCCCCGCCCGCGCTGCGCGCCGTCGTCCGTCGCCCGTCGCCGCCGTTGCCTTGAGCCCCGTCCACGCGCCGTCACCCCGCACCGCCTCGCCTCCTCCGCCGCCGCGCTCGCCTCCTAGTCCCCGCGCCCTGCCACCTAGTCCCCGCGCGCCGCCGGACACCGCGCGCCCACGACGAGGAGGAGGAGCCCGCGGTGGCGGCGGTGTCCCACCACGCGGAGGAGGAGCCCGCCGCCCGCTGCGCGTCCCCCCGCGCCCGGTCGGCCTCCACCTCCGTCGCCACTCTCCTCCGCCGCACCCCGCCGCCGCTCGCCTCCCCACGCTCGGTGCCTCCGCTGCCGCCTCGCCTCGCCGCCGCTGCCTCCTCCGTCGCCGACCGCCCTCGCCGACCGTCCTCGTGTGCGCGCTGCGTGAGTGGTGAGAGAGAAAAGAGCAAGAGAGAGAGACATAGTAGAGAGAGGGGGGAGAAGAGTATGGCAGGTGGGTCCCACAATTTTTTATTAAAAAAACGCTGACGGGATTGCCACGTGTGTGCCACGTTGGACAAAACCGCTCTGAATTGGTTCGAGGGGGGTAATTTGTCTGGTTTACATAGTTGGGGGTAAAGAATATCCGGTTTTGTGGTTCAGGGGGGTAATTCGGACGATCGCGATAGTTCGGGATGTAATTCGTACTTTTTCCTTATTATTATGTCTATCACATGAATTTTTAGTGGAAAGTATTACATTATTGTATTGTGCAAACATTTTTCATGGCAAAGATCTAGCGGTTTCGTTTAAGATACATGACAAATTAAAATATTTGTAATTATGCGCGGACCCTGAAAGGTACTCCATCCGTTCTTCCCAAAGACCCAAACACTATTTCAATTGTGACCACTAAAAGAATTTTAAATTGCTAGACTATAATGAGCAACAGCATAATGCTGATGTTTAAGATGCAACACACTTCAAAATAAAGCATCTTGATACTCTCTCCGTTTTTTAATATTATGTTGTTGACAGAAAACATTAGACCGCTTAAAATCTAATAAGTCATAGGCTCATAGCCCGCGAATTCTTAATGTCATTTGACAAAATCCATCCCTTCAAATCTTGCGAATTCTAAACCATTAGATCGCTTTAGGATTCGTGCGCTGAACCTAACCCTAATTTCTTCTTCCCTCTCCCCTCAATCATGTCGCTACCACCACTTCGCTCCCCTCCCTTGGGCACGCGCTCCACCCCCTCCTGCGTCGCCACCGCCGCCCGGCTCACCGGCTGGCCTGAAGGCGTCAATGGCGCTGGCGAGAGATCCCTGGCCTCCTCCCCCTCCCCCCTTCCGCCCTCTCTCCTTCCTCCTCGAGCCATCGACGGCGAGATACCCCCACCACCAACGCCGGTGCCACCACTCTCCTTCATCCCCCATGGCTCCGGCGCCTCGCCACTTGCCCGTTCCACCACCCAACACCGTGCCGCCGCTTCCCATGACTATCTCTCTAAGCCCGGCGACCTCCTCCTTCTTGCCCCCTCCCCTTCCCATTCCTCCCACCCTCACCCCACCTAGAGAGACGCTAATTCGTCAGTCCTCTGGTGGAGTTTGGGTTGTTGCAGGCACCGGAGAAGAAAAAAAGGTCATTGGAGTTGGAGAAGAAGTACCTGAAGTACGAATCACAAAGCAAGTCTAGTAATCCAAAATCTACAAGATTTGGGGGATGCATTTTCCGTCGATAGAAGGTTACAATTCTGTATATATAAACGTGGGATCATATCAAATATATGAAAACTTATCTCAATGAGAGAGATAGAGGTATATATCTATATATATGAGAAAGCAATAAGATGTGATGTCTTTTTTGTCTTCATTGGTTATCTACTGCTCTCTGCATTTTCATATTTTAAGTCATTTTGATTATTTTCTAGTTAAACTTTTTAAGTTTGATCAAGTTTATAGAAAAACTTTTAAGTCAAACTGTGGATGGTGCCCTCCGTGAGATGACCCTACTGTAGTTTTCAGAAAGAAGAAAAAGAAAAGACCCTACCGCATATATCGACCAGTTTCTCGATCGATCCCCTCATAATGAACCTCCAAATGCAGCGTTGCTTTAAAACTTGTCGGCATAGAATACACCCAAATATAATGCTATCGTTGTCAACAAATGTAGTATTAATTAGGCAATGATTGTACAAGAAGCACAGCGCGCTAAAAATATTATTTTAACAGTGAAATGTTTTCGAGGATTATTTTAGAGTTTTGACAATGACACGGTCACCAAAATATATTCTTAACTTTATCTTATTATAATATATACAATAAATAAATAAATAAATGCATGTTTACTTTCTTTATATTACTTTGAAAGACAGATGTAGATATGCTGTTTTGTTCCTTTAAATTAAATTTTGTATCACAAAGGAAAAAAGTATAACAATCATCTCATAGGTAGTGTCATGTCTTATTTTGTATCACAGAGGAAAAAAGTATAACAATCGTCTCATAAGTAGTGTCATGTCTGTAGAAACGTGATACTCCATTTCCATTTCCATTTATGTAAGCCATTTTTCTGACCATTTTATCATTTAGCCTCCACCAGCTAGCTCGGAGATTCCCTTCTACCTTAGCATATTTCGTTGCCTCACCAAAAACAGTGAGCCAAAATAAGCATGTTCCTCATTAGATTTGCAACTCTGGACCCACAATCTTGTGTCCCATGCCTCTCCAGGTAGGGAGGGAGAGGACCGGAGAGAGGCCAGCGACGGTGATGGCCACGTAGTGACCAGGCTGGCGCCGGCGACGGGGACGTAGCGACGCGGGGGAGGAGGGGAGGGGAGAAGCGCCGCCGTCGTTTGGGAGGATGAGAGGCCGCCAGCAGTGAGGAAGATAGGAGGGGGAGAGGGAGGCGACTGAGAGGGAGAGGAGCACGAGGTCGATGCCGCACCGCTGAGGTCAATCCGGAGCCAAAAAGCTCGATCCGTAGCTTGGCGGCACCGTCGTTCGCGGCTTTCGGCCCCGACAAGGTGGAGCCCCACTCAGCGCCGCTTGTGTCGTGCGCTGCTGTTCCGCCTGTCGCCATCGCTTGGGCCGAGCCACCGCTGCTCTGCTTGTCGCCGCTCCCAACCATGACCTCAACCGCTCCACTACGTCGAGCCGCTTCAATCCGCTACATCACCCCATCCACCCTATTTTGCACCGGCGGTGGCCGGAGGAGGAGGAGGAGGGGAGGCGTGGCGGATGAAGGAAGAGGGGGAGGCGTGGCGGAGGAGAAGAGAAGGGGATGGCAGGTGGAGGAGAAGAGATGGGGATGGAGAGGTAGAGGAGCTCGAGGTCGAGGCCAATGTTGATTTGGAACCGGCGAGCTCAATTCGCAGCCGGCGCCGATGCCGCTCGGGCCGCCCAGTGCCATCGCCGCTCGGGCTACCCTAGCGCTTCGCTTTTTCTTGCCTCGGCTTCTTTTGCCAGTAAGGACTGGGGGAAGGAAGAAAGGAGAGAGAGGGGGGTGATGAAAAGTGAAAGAGATTGGTATTGGTGAGACCCACTACAAGCAAGTTGCATTGTGGAGTATGTAGCTTAACATGTTCTTGGTCTGTGGCATGTGAAGAACGACAAATATCAGGGACGGATTGCTATTGCCTTAATGGCCTTTACAATGTGGTAGCTGTCATCAGCCGATCTCTTCATGTCAGCGATTCGGTGTGAATCTTTACCATGTTCGTAGGTAGGCCCACCAAATTAAAGCCCGCGTGATCTTCTTTGGTCACCTGTTCTTGGCGTGGGTAGAGAAGGCTACGGATGTGTTGGGAGGATGTGGTTTCGTTCCGCTTTTTCTATATGCACCGTGGATCTTGTGGCTTCCAGGTCAATCTTGGTAGCGTCTTGGACCAAGGCTACGCGTGGCCCGCATTGTAAAGTCCCTAATTGCAGAAGCACTTATGATTATACAAGCATCACAATTATTTGTTTCAAACAAACCATACATATTAACCTTCTCATTTCAGACTAAATCTTGTACAGTTAACTTACCAGCAACACCTACAAATTAAGTACTACAAGTAATAGTCACCTAGCTAATACTAATATATGTACGGACGTAACAGTAGTCTGGCAGCGCACGACGAGCCAAAACCGGATCTCGTCTGAGGCTTGCCTCTTCACCAGCTAGCAGCGTTGGCACGTACACAAACTATTCCACATAGAGCGTGTTTGCGTGTATAGTTCACGTCAAAATTTAAAGTTTGGTTAAAATTAGAACAATGTAACAGAAAAGTTAGAAGTTTATGTGTAGAAAAGTTTTCATGTAATGGAAAAGTTGAAAATTTAAATAAAAAGTTCAGAACTAAACTCGCCAGGACATTCAACCGATATTTAGGTTAGCCCTTCTTCACTCTAAGGCTAATCTAAGCCCTTATTTAGTTCCTAACTTTTTCTTAGAACTTTTAACTTTTTCATCACATCAAAATTTTTCTACACGCATAAACTTTTAACTTTTTTTAAACTTTCAATTTTAGTCAAACTATCAATTTTAGCGTGGAACTAAACACACCCTAACCTGCTGTTTTGGTAGTGTACGGAAGACTAATTCTCTGCACCGTACTGTAATTACGCAAGTCCGTAAAGTGCATGATCGCACATTAAGTACTGTGGTTACGCGGTTAAGCAAAGAAGAACACGTAGCAGAATGCAATCAGCCGTCGCCCTGTTTTTCTTTGCTTAGTACTGATGCATAATTTCCGAGTTTTCAAATAGTGCGTATTTTTCTGAAAATTCGGAAACAATTCTGTATACTCCGGATCCCTCTGGTTTTTAATATATGGTACCGTTAACTTTTGCTATATGCTTTGGTTATTCGTTCTACTTAAAAAATTTTATAGAAATCTTAAAAATATAAATATTGCTTAAAAGTTCCTTGAGTAATAAATCAAGCTACAACAAATGACATACTTAAATTTTTAAGAGTAATTTTCACAAAACTACATTATTTTGCACAATTTATTACAAAACTACAGATTTAGTGTCTCTGTTTATCACAAAATTACAGATTTAAGAACTTGTTTCATAAAACTATAGATTCAGTGTATTCGTTTATCACAGAACTACACATTTAGTCTTTATTTATCACAAAACTACAGATTTAGTGTCTCCATTAATTATCACAAAACTACAGGTTTTAACAATGCTAAAACCTATGGTTTTATGATAATGAAGGCACTTAACATGTACTTATTTATCATTTTGTGACAAATGAAAATATTAAATCTAAAGTTTTGTGAAATAAGTTCTTAAATCTGTAGTTTTGTGATATATTGTGTAAAGTACATGTAGTTTTGTGATAAACGAAGAAATATGTACTTTCATGAAACAAGTTCTTAAATATTTAGTTTTGTGATATATCGTGCAAAGTATCTGTAGTTTTTATGAAATTTACTTATTTTTTAATAAGAAAAGAACCAAACATGCTATAAAAAAATCAACGACTTCATATATAAAAATAGAGTAAA